TCCTACTTATAGCCAAAATATGGAGTCAAACGGCGTCCGACAGTTGGATAGGTTCCCTCGTGAGCTGCTACAATAAAAACAGCCTTATTGACCGTGCTCAGGTTCTTCGTCTAACTGAATCGCTTCATCACATACTATATGAGCTCCAAGTAGAAAGAGAAATCCCTTTTTTACAAAATACTGCAAAAATGAACTCGGTTTGGTTGTATGTGACATTTCTAAAATGCTTTTTTGAAAAGGAGTATGTAACCAACAAAGAAAATGTCGCCATACTCAAAATATGGCTTTGCAGAAAGTGCCGCCTAACCGAAAGAATGAGCATTATAAAACCCCGTATTTATGCACAATCGACAGAGGATTGCAAGAGCTATCCAGCAGTGAGTTATGTTTTAAAAACTAAATATTCGTTCGTATAGAAAAAATAAATTAGTTAAAAACAAACATAAAATTAGTTGAAAAGTAGATGCTATTCATACAATCACACTACGTGACCTATAAAAACGTTCAGTTCTATTAGAATTTTTTTATAGACTATATTTAGTGTGTACGAGCGTTATAGCCTTCATACAGATACGCCGTAAAAAAACATCTAATGAGACAAAAATGCAAACACACAGGTGATTAATAATATTAAAGTGATTTCGTCAGAACAACAAAGCTGACGGAGCCTTCTTTATACTGAAAAAAATTGAACAGTGATTATAATTCATCTATAGTAATAGGATATATTATTATTGATATTATTAGAATGACAAATCTAACCTCTAGGTAAGGTTCCGTCGAAATATCGAAACTGGAATCGTTTATAGTGAAGATTGTTAACACTAAACAAAGCTTCTTGTCTTTGTTTTGATTTTTTAAGTGGTTTGTAAGATTTCATTTAAAAAACCCTGGTATGATCGCTGGACATTTGAAATTATTCCGCGCGCTAGTCATCATTGCTTTGATCAGCTATTGTGTTATCGACACTGTTATGTATTCATAGAAATCAGTTAAAAAATCAGATGGACTAAAGTTTTTACACGGTTCACGTTACATTGCCTTGGAAATCCTCACAATTATTTATTCGAGTGGTATTGCTGCCTCCGGAATTTCGATTGAGATTTACATTTTAGTCCCGTACACCATAGCTAATTGTGTGTTAGTGGCTAGCAATTGCGCTGGAGCAGCAGAGACAGCCACAGCTATCATCTGGATCGTTAAAGTCCTTTGTTTACTGATCGCAGTCGAACTGTGTTATCGAAACTATTTCTCTGTTTTTACGCATCTGACACACCACCCAGGACGTTGAAAATGGTGTCATTAATTGCTAATTAAATGCTATTTAATACGCTATTAATAAGCATTTAAATGGAATTTTTAATGTTTTTTTTAATGTTTTTTTAATGTTAAAATGGTTTTTTTCTGAGGAGCGGGGAGCCCTTAAAGAGAACACTATGCATTCATGGTGGCTCCAATAGTCTGTCTTCCTTGGGTACCGCTAACTTTTGAGTTTTCAAGAATTCAATCTTATGTCAAAAGCTTCACTTTCAGATTTTCCTAGATTTCTGTATGTATTTCTCAATGTTAGTTCGACATGTTAGTTCCGTGCCAAGCCATATCCCCATTCACATGCTGTTCGATTGGCTCTAGCAACGAACCGATCTAAGCGAAAATATCCGCGGGTATACATTCTCTGAAATCCAAATGTGAATGCCTTTTTCACATACGGCAAACGTTACTTTTACGGTAAAATTCACAGTTAAATCAAAACACATCCACCGTTCTTACCTTTATTTTGAGACCAAACGCCGCCAGTCACATGTTGAACTAACATTGAGAAATACATACAGAAAATCAAGATTTTTTGAAGACTACATAGTCATTCCAGTGCTAGTCGAACTCCCTTCAGTTCCTTGAATGGGTGCAGTTCTTGAATCCCGTTCCAACGGCTTAACCCGTTCCAGGTAGCCATGGAACTAGCTCGAAATCAATGTGAATGCTGCTAGGTTGAAAGCTATTACGAGAATGTCTTGATCTAGAAAGAATTCGAAATGACATTTTTTTATTGTAGTGTTTTTCACGTGTTGTTTGTTGTTCTTTTTTATTAGTTAGTAAAACCCCTCCCATGATAGAAGGCCATGACCTTCTATTATGGTTTCACACGCATATCGCACTTTTTTTGGTGAAAAACTGCCCTACCCTACTCAGGAGAGATAACTATTAATAGTGTAACGTTGCTTTGTCCTGAAAAGACGTTTACGCAACAATATTTGTTGTTAATGCCAAAAAGTTAAGCAACGATATCGAATATACATAACCATTGTAATCTTCATGAAATTGAAGTCCAGTTATTGGTATAAATCCTATATTGTTCGAAGAACTATCATTCTCCGTATTTAGAAGTGCAATCAATGGTCGTCATTCATGCTTGATCTGGTGGTTGTCATTCAGGCCTTGATCGGGTTCAGCTCTACCGGCTGTAGATAAACGATTGATGGGCCATGCATCTTTAATATGCAGTATATTCCTATTACCTAAAGGATTGAGTCTTCCACTCATAAACAAATTTTTATTTTCTTTTATATGCTCGAAAACCGCATCTCTCCTTATCATCATTTTGATCATGCTTTCTGAGACAGAAACCTTGGGAAAATAGACATCGCTGATGTTTCTTTGCTCATTCTGTGGCCCAAATTTATGGCGCAACAAAAAATTATTTCGTGCGTCATAGTTGAATAAATCGCCATCGGACACTATCGATGCCATGCAACAATGCCATCCAGCTAAAAATGTAAGAGTGTATTTTATTTTTGATCACAGTAAAGATATTATTTTATTTCTTATATTCACCAGGAAATCCTCCAAATGCAAACCTGCTTTTAAACCGTCCGTGGATTTTTGCAAAACAGAATACTCTTTTTATAGGTTTTCATATGTGCTCTTTTAAATGGCGTGATTTTCAAACTTCTAAAGTATGTTCACACTAGTTTTCTAAAGACCGAATTTCTCGAAAACCTGTACAAATACACTTTCAAAATTTGAAAACCATGTCATTGAAAAGCGTACGTACGAAAACCTATAAAAAGTGCCGTTTTCATACTGATTCCGAATATCGTATTATTTTTTAATATAAGTGCTCGTGAAGTGAGGAAAGCGTTTTTTAGCGTTAATGGCTTTTGAATCTCAACGCGAGTTACTTCATCGGATAGAGCTTGAAAAACGGCGTCGAATGCATATCAGTCTTTGAACCTGATTTTGTGCGGAACATATGATTTATAAAAACAGTCTATTTCCAAAAGTGTGATCGTTTTACAAACTTTCTTGAAACTCTCTGCAACATTTTGGAGATTTCCGTCTGTAGAGATTTTGTAGTCGTATATACAAATTCTAATCTGACAGTTTCAGCTGAAACAAAATGTTTCGTTAAAAAAATGATAAAAATACCGCTTCCCATAGAGCGTACGAGTCCACTGTGCAGTTTCTTTTAAAATCTTTTAACCTGATATTCGCCATCACGAGCTCAAATTGTAAGTCCTGAAGATCGACATAAAGTCTCATACTATACACCCTCGAAAGAATCCTTTTTCATTTGACAGAGTGAATTGAAATACCGACTAGTATATGTCGTTAAGGTTGGAGCCTTATGAATTTAAAACAAACTTAAAGAAAATTGCAGAAGAGAATCATTCTGCTCACATTTCGAAGGTTTCTTTGAAATGTATCTTTCGGACTATTACACGTCACATAGCGACATCTCGTTGCGAGAACGAAATGCTGTGACTTCCGATATAAAAAATTATCGTTGATTCCAACTTTATACGATAAATAAAAACAACACAAGACAGAAAAAATGTAGTGAAATTTTTTGAAGAAAAGACCTGTTAAGGGTTTTTTCTCGTCTATTTGATACTCTTCGGATTGGCGATCACGGATGTAGATAAGATACGCCACAAAAAGTCGAGTATCAACGTGAAATCACGTCGCTCTTAGCGAACGTTGTGTGCTCCGCATTTCCCAACTCAGGGATGCTATATCTAAATTTTAAACTTAGCGAAAGTTTTCACCTGGATAGATATCTTCCACCATTTTTATCAACCACAGCCGTTTTAAGAAATTTATGACCCCTGTGCTGATCATTAACGTTTTCAACACATCAATTTGTATTTTTTTTAATAATAACAAAATGCAAGGCTTAAGTCGTTCGATTGGGCCCCTGTGCTATAGCACATAGGATAAGAAGGCACTGTCATCAACTCTATGAAGACTGACAGGGTTCTTCAACTAAAAAAACACGACAAGACATCAATTAACAAAACACGCCACATACAGCTTTGTTAATGGAATCTTTTATAAAACAATGGAAAACAAGAAAAGCAGATAAAATATATAAACAAAACATAGTTTTTTTAGTTGAAATATTGCTAGGATAAGATCATAAGAATAGCTGGAAAAAGGATGAGATCATTAGAGGCCTGCATGGACATTTTTTTTCTGTCCATGTCCATCATTTTGTCCGTCTTATCACTAGCGTTCAACAGAATTGTTGCTTTGAAAAAAATTTAAAAAGTTTTCAGTTTCATCTCGACCTGTATTCTGTTCACTTCAGATGATTTTTTCACATGGGTCTAAGCATTTTTTCTGTTATCTTAGGGGAGCAACTCAGAATCAGAAGAGGCTCAAAAACACTTTCAATGTGTTCGTCGATTATCATCCATCTACTAGAGCCAAAATCAGAGCAGACTCAAGCGTACAGTCTCTGTCGCTTATGGTTTTAGTACTCCCTCTTCGTTGTAAAAGTTTCAGCAATTACACATTCATATTCATAATGTGCATTGTTAGTATTGAAAAAGTGTGATCCATCCACAGAATTATTTTTAAATGCAAAAGTAGTTCTTTTTTACATATTTACTAGGTATCTTTGCTTCCATAATTATTTACTTCTCAATACATTTTTTTTTATCTCATTTTATAGATAGAACACAGATTGAGAAAAACATTTTCGTTATTTTAAATTCACGATGCCAAAAAGTAACAAAAAATCCACTATTCCCAAGAAACAAGAACAAGAACAACCTCAAGATGATAAATCAAAAAAGAAACGACGTCATTCCGAAGTTGATACAGATTTAGTTGACCAAGTTCAAACTCCTCGCGATCAATCAAAAAAGAAACGACGACATGTAGATACTGATGACGAAACCGATGAGAATCAACCACCACAACACCAGTCTCCGAGACAACATATACCAGTTCAACCACCATCTCCACGACCATTATCATCAGAATCGTCTGATTCAGAAAGCGATAATGATTTGCTTGATCGAATTCTTATGTCACATTTTCTTGTTGGTGAACAACAGCAACCAGACGTTTCTACTCGTTTGATGTCAAAAACGGCAACACAATGGTATACAATTTCCGAAAAGGAATTAATGAAACGAATTCCTCCAGAATGTTTTGGTACAGATTATACAGGTTATTGTGAAATAGAAGTTATTGAAAATAATTTAAAAGCATTAAATGTGATATTAAAACCTGATAATTATCCTGTGGATTATATTCGAGCATTTCGTCGTTTAGAAGGTTTGCAAGAATTTTTGAAATTATGTGATAATTTTGACACAATTCAAAATGGTAAAGAAAGATGTAAATCATTGGTACATTTACTGGCAACTTGGTAAAACATACTTTGTATGATTGGCCAAAAAGGTTGTTAAAGCATTTCTTCTTTATTGTTATTTTAGTTGGTTTAATGTTTTGTACGGTTTACTACCGAAATGTATATTACCCATGAAACGTGATGATCGACAGCTAGTGGTAAATAGTCATTTCTCATTAGATGATATAGAAAAATTACATTTTCTTAATAAAGAAATTCCTAATTTCGGTCAAGTTTTGGAAGAAGCTTGTGCTTATGGTAAAAAACTAACTCATGATTCGAAAAGATTTAGTCAGTATATGGTCGTTTTACATTATTTACTAAAAACATGGAACTTATTGGGAGAGAATGTTATCGATAGAAGGCGAACAACATTAACAACAACTTCATATATAGAAATACCAACTTCAGTTGTTTTGTATTCACGATTAATTGCACAATATTTTTCAACATTGACTGACGAAGATCTGGACTATATCAAAGCATGTGATAAATATGAAGAAAAATATAATGGTCTCGGTGGACAGAAGTATGATTTAAGTATATTGCAAATGTGGGAGTTTGAGGTAACTAATCCGTTTTATCTAGAGTCGTTGAATATGATCTCGCTCGTATTACCGGATAATTCTCTTAGAGAGTTGCGCTTTTTGAGTAGCAAAAGAAAGAATGAGTTTGGACAAGTACTGTTCGAATACCTATGCAGACAGTTGTGAAACAAGATGTATGTGTTTTCTTTGACGAAAGAAAAGTACTAAGAATTATCATTTTCTTCAGGAGTAGTCATAACAAATTCATGATCTTCTTTTATCTTGTTAGGTTTTGTATCGTACAAAAAATACATGTAAACGAGGAGATTGTGCACAACATCAATAATTTAAGTAAGAAGAGACGTTTGAACGTTTTTCTCTTGAACGATTCGAACGTTCAATATGCCAATCAACGTTCATTGTTTTATTTTAAATATTTTTGTTACTATCTCTCATGATTTTTATTAAAAGGAAAAATGTATAGTCTTATTTATGTAGTTCACTTTCGTTTTTACATTCTCACTTTTTATAGTTTTTATTCAACAAGATATTTATTATTTTACTATCTGTTTGCTGTTATTCTCAAACTTACGCAAAGTGTTTTCCGTTCATAGATCGATTATATTTAACGTTATTTTTTGTATAGATAAACTAAAATTTATATTTTTCTTGTTTTGTTGTAGACTTTGTACACTTATTATTCTTGATAAAATTTCCTTCGTAAATAAAACGTTTCTGTGTGTGTGAAAAAGAATCGGTGTTTATATCTGTTCTCGCGTCTGCTAAATGTGTACAGATTTAAACGAGTTGGGATAAACGATAGTGTGGTATTAAGTTCAACAATAGTGGAGGCAAAAACACATATGTTGATTTGACTCAACGACAAAATTGTCAAAGAATAATGTCAAATTGAAACTTTCATCGATACTTTGAACTGTCTCGTAAAAACCTACCCCTATCCAACAACAACCTAACACGATCGGATCGGCCTGCAAAAAAGTCTCTACTCAGACATTATTAAACGAATAAGTAAGTATTTTTTATTTTGAGATGGATACTAAGTTACTGGAAGTATTTTTTTGTTACATGTGCGTTTGCATTCTGTTAGACTTTTCATCGGTGTTTTAAAAGAGGGCACTATCATACAGAGTACTGTTCAACACGGTCGGTGTAGAAATTATATTAGTGGATTGTAGCCAATAATTATAGAGTAAATGATTCACATTTATAGTACAATCAAATTTCAAATTAATATTTGTTACATTCTCTATGAAGTTTTAAACCTTATTAAGTATAGGTAGCTCGTTCAACTTGTTTTTCGTGGGACAGATGAGAATTTTTCTTTCTAATTTCACTGTCTCATATACGAAACAACTCAGCAGTTTTTCTTTTGCAATAGTTTCAACTTTTTCTTTAAAAATTGACTCGGCGACACCTAACCGAAAGTACTACTAAAAGCCTCCTGTATGTGTAGTTCAGAAATTGTTACACTTTCCAACATATTTGAACATGTGAAAAGTATATATTGATGTTTGGCACAACCTAATTGGATTTCAAACAAAAATCATCGGATGACGAACAAATTAATGACGATGGTGTTATGATAAGAGAAAAAGAATAAATGACAATGATGATGATCATTTAATGGCATCATCATTAACATTTCAACAATCTTTATTTTTCTGAAGAAGAAAGAACTATTTTGAATGATGACCGCCTAGCAACAAAATCAAACCATAGTACTGTTAAATTACATGAAAATTACAGACTGATATTTTCCACCTATTTAAAATATTAAATCAAAAAATCAGTTCAACACAATTAGCAATAAAAATGATAACTAATGCTGAGTGGTTCTTGCTAAACAAATGGTCGAAAGAAAACTAAAGTATTTGATCATATTAGTATTAAAGTAGCTCAGATTATCACATGTTCGAGAAAGAATTCAAGATTTATGAGCAAGTATTTCTGAACTTCATTTAGAGTTTTATACAAACTCCAATTCTCATGGTTTTCCAGTTTATGTGTATTTCAAATAAATTTCTAATATCATTATCTAAATCGACGAGGTAAATGTAAAGTATCTAACGTAATAACTGTTATCAAAATGAGTTGAGTTTTGACAGGAACAACTGCTATCAATCCAAAAACCATTCCACCCACCACTTATAAAGCAACAATTTTTGAATTGAAATTAAATTTCGTCATTACTCGTTGTGTTATTTAATCAGTTAGTTTCCGAAAATAAATAGAGAGTACAATAAATCGACAACAATCTCATTAATTTTCAGAAATAAGATAAAAAAATAAAATAGTGATATTGATAATAGAATGTACGATTATTTTACTAAATTGTAATCAGGATAAGCGGTGCTATGTATAAAATTGAAAACACATTATGCTCATACTCTGGAAAGACTTGATTTTTATTAATGCTACTGCGTTCAAGTTTTTTTAACTCTTCTTTTCACCGTTCAGATTTATTTTCTGTTCGAATTATAGTTGTCAAATTTGTGTACACTTTTTATCCTTGCTATAAACTATACAATAATTAACAGTTGATCATAAAAGATGTAAAGTGTATTTATATTGTTGATTTGGAATATAAATGAATCACCGTGATATAGCCGTGTAGCTGGTTAGTGATAAAATAAATCCTATTCTACATTTTAATCATTCGTCTCATTTTTAGATATATTATTATTTTCAACAAAAGCACGCTTTGTGTCATATTTGTTTGACTACTTTAATGAAAATTTGAATATTTGTGAAATCATATGAATCTAATGGAAGAGAGTTTGGATACATATGGGAAGTACCAAATAGCGAACTTTTCTATATATAAAAAAACAACACAATGGACACCTGTGTGAAGAAGACAACAGCAACACAAGAATAAAACAAAATAATAGAAGTTAATTGGCTAATTAGACGAGAACGTATTCCAAAAAGTAGAGATATGAGGATGAAAACGAATCATATATATATATATTTTCGCCATTTTCTTTAACTTGATAAGCATGAATTGAAAACAATTGACGTTTTTTCTGTTAATTGTAGAGTCAGTCGTTACAGTTTGTATAGATAAAGTTTTATTTAACTTAACTATCAGAAATTTCCTTGGGAAGTTTATTTTTGAATTGTCGCCGTTTTCTCAAGCTAAATATTTAACAAGAGCGAAAAAAGCAAGGACACCAGTTTTCATATGTATGCGTAGATGAGCTTTCTACGACCATATGACTTAAAGTTGATGTAAAAGTTATAAAGAACAAAAATTTAAAAAAGATACGAATCTTAGCACGTTTATAATACTATTATTTTTGTTTGTAATAAATTGATTTAAGAAACAACATATGTGAAAATAGTTAGAGAAGTTATTTATTGGTACAGGGTGGCCCAAAAGTGGCTTTACCGAGGTAGACACATATTATTCTGTACATTTTTATTTTGATTGAGCTCGTTTTTATACCAAAAGATTTCCCGTTGAATTCTCTACAAAAATGTATTTACTGTTTTATTGCAAAATTCGAAGGTGCAGAATGCCATGAGAAATTGTGGAAAGTACCAAACTGTAGAAAAAATAAACGTATTTTCTCAGAGAGCGAAATTTTTTCGAATAGTTTCACAAGCATTAAAACAGTTTCAGTATAGTTTTGTGTAGTTTCAAATACGCTCTTTCTCGTCACGTAGAGCGAAAATCATTTGAATCTAAATATCTGACGCAAAGATTAACTTCTCAGCAATCAAGTGAAAATAGTAAAATTTGTTACCTTTTTTTTTGCGCGGTGGGCCAAAACAAATTTTTTTCCAAATCTTGGAGATTCGACCATAACGACTAATCACTTGTTTTCAAAATTAAAAAAATCAACCTGAATGGATCAAGTTTGACTAATCTTTATTTGTTTTATTAGACGGCTCAAATTATTGGTAAAAAATCGTTATCTTTTGAAAAATTAGCAAAAAAAAATGAAATTCTTGCGCCCTCAACTCGAACTGAAATTATTTAAATTATAGATGGAAAATACAGCTTTTCGAGGCGTACACAGTGACTACTTCAGCTTTCCCTCTCTCACAAACTTTTAAGAGATAATACTAGAAAAATAACTGTTAACTACGTTGATTTTTTCTACAGTTTGGTACTTCCCACAATTTCTCATGGCATTCTGCACCTTCGAATTTTGCAATAAAACAGTAAATACATTTTTTGTAGAGAATTCAACGGGAAATCTTTTGGTATAAAAACGAGCTCAATCAAAATAAAAATGTACAGAATAATATGTGTCTACCTTGGTAAAGCCACTTTTGGGCCATCTTATATTTTCTCCTTGTATTTGTCTTATTTTTTAGATGAATATTGTCTTTTGGATTATTCTTGTTATCTCAAACATAAGTGTAACATTTTTGAATGCAAATGATTATTCAGAATTTTCTATCATAGACCAAAAACATTTGTCAAATTATTTACAATCTTCAACATTATGTGTTCTTATTTTGGGTATGAATAAGTGCAATCATCTATTCATTTAAATCATACATTTTACATTGACACATTTTCTTTAGTTAATAAAATATGTAATGATGAAATTTGTGAGAAACAAAAAGTTGAACTTAACCAAATACGTAATCAATGTGAAGAAAATGGAATTAAATTTCTATTATCGTCTGATACGACTTTAGCTGAACAATATAATATTTATGGTGGTTTACCGAAAGTAATACTTTTTCATGAAAAATATCCATTACTTTATCAAGGTAGATAACATTTCAAGATGTATTAAATTCTCATATTATTCTACTATTTCTCATTTTTTTTCTCTAGGAAATATTATAGCGGAGTCGGTAAATGAATGGCTGTTTGAATCACGTGAACGATTAACACGCACATTAGACGATAAGTCTTTCGAACATGATACACAAGCATCGACCGGTTCTACTACTGGTGATTGGCTCATTTTATTGTGAGTTTTGATTTAAAATTTTAAAATGTATTCAGACGTGAACCGTATTGATTTCTGAAACAAATTATGCGACAATTTAGCTGAGTGATGGAAGTAGACAAATAAATATTTTTTTCTTTTTAGCAAAAAAAATGATAGTAAATCCATTGAAAGTTTAATTATGGCGTTTGAAGCAGCATCTTTCCAGTAAGTTTAAAAAGAAAGATGAGTTCGTGTTTTATCCATCAAATATTTATAGCTTTCGTAACCGTGCTATTTTGGCTTATGTTGATTTTGATTTAAATCCATTAATTCAAAAACGATTTCATTTGTTTACTTCTCCGACAGTTTTATTGTAAGTAGCTAATTATCAAACAAAAATTCAGGATGAATACTCAAGTTTTCTCTCTCTTTTAGATTTAAAAGAGGAAAAATGTATCGTTTTGAAAGTGCAGCGTGGAATAAGAAGACATTAATTGAATTTATTGAAAACGGTTATCTACAAGTCAAACCCGAACTTATACCAGAAGAACAAAGCGCCTTGTAAGCAAAATTTTCGTTTACTGTCATATCTTGTTTATAGTTTTGTTTTATGACAAATATTATCAAATGTAATGAGCAATTATTTCTGAATAAGTGGGAAGTGTTGACTCATTAATGATTGTGATAGGGTAAAACATTGTCAGACGATAATAAGTTTTTATCTGATACATGAGTATTAATAGTTCAATGTTTGTTGTTTAGTTCATCCTTATACGAAAACATATCAAAATACTTTACAGTAAGAAAAAGAAATTATAATTAGTTTCTAGTTTACTATTATCTTATAATTTTAGATTACATTAGTTATTATTCCTATGCTCATACTCGCTGTTGTACTCATAGTTTTGATATGTTTTGTTCCGAAAAAAAAGCAACGTAATCAACCATCCACATTTCAAGTTAAAATCGATTAAAACAGCTATGCATTCCTTCTCATTGATTTTGCACTTCAAATATTCTCAGTTATTTTTTTTTTGTTATTGATATTTTTTAATTTATTATTTTGTTATATGTTTTTGTCAACAAAAGACTATTAACTTGTTTTTTTAGTATGGTACTGAGCAGAGTTTGGCTAATACGATCGCTAATAAACATAATATTGCACGTTAGGACTCAATGTTTGTTAGACAGGTCAGCGATGAAAAAGGGACATTAAAGTAAAACTGTGCACATCTCACGGAACTCCACAAAAGTACGTTCATCCGTGTAACTTAAGGATCATGATAACTAATGTCTGCTGATTTTGTTTGATCATATGAAAGCTGATCACCCTTCAAGCATGAGGCTCTTTGATTAGATGGTTCGAAAGATATAAGCGTTTCATTTTTTCTCAAAAATGCTTTCACCTTTTTCTGACCCAAGAGAGATGAAAATTTTCTTTTACCACGACTCTACTCTATCTATGGTATAAATTTCGTTTATAATAGTCAGTAAAGTACAATGGTTTTACGGTGGAGAGTCACTTTTGAGATACGAGATTCATCCACAAAATTCATAGTTCAGCTAAGGAATATATTTTTTCACTTCAGAATTGTGTCAAATACTCTGAAGTATTTCCAGATTATTCACACAAAGTTTGAAGGTTAACTATTGTATGGTTCGAGAAATTCATTGAAAATGAGCATCCATTATTGAAATATACGTAGAAAGATGAAGGTGAGGAACTAAAGATTGTCCTTTCTACCATATCTTCTACGATTGATGTACATCATAACCGTGCAAAATTATAATTAAAACAACGTATATTAATAAAACACTTAGGTAAACCATTATCAAGGTGTCAGCCTCACCCCCACACTTATCCTGTTTTAGCTAGTTTCTCGTATTACTATACGTTGTTTTAATTATAATTTTGCACGGTTATGATGTACATCAATCGTAGAAGATATGGTAGAAAGGACAATCTTTAGTTCCTCA